GCTCTTCCTAGAGAGGGCTATCAGTACAAGTGCATATACAGAGATCATTTGACACTTAAATTGCCCACCGATGGATCTTATTTAACTGGTATTATGGCTTCTGACTGTAATGATTGGTGCTTCAAAGCAGAGAGTGAGTACACACCACTTTTCAATTTCATAATTTCTCCAGTTTTTTTTATTTTTTATCCTACATTGGTGTGCTTTGTGTAGGTTCATTACATATAAACAAATATAAAATCAATTAAAATTGAAGGTTGTGGGTACAAAAAGCAATAATATGAAGGGAAGTGAATCATTTTGCAACTCACTGTATAAACAGAGATGATATCATACTGAGATGAGTCATTTACTTTTAATTTGTCAGAGTACAAAAACACCAAACACAAATTTTAAAACATTTTGGTACTGAATGATAAGCTGCATAAAATCAAAACATTTTAGACCACCCGTTTATCATTGAGTAGAGAGTAGTTCAAAATGCTGCCAAACAGTTTTGTCCAGTCAGCACACAGAACAACAATAACAACAAAGCATCTGGGAGTGTTCTGGGGAGTCTTGCATGAAAATACTAGCATCCATAGAATCTCATTGGTTTGGGCAAGGGTGTGGGGTGGGGGCTTTGTGGATTGGACTTATTCCCCAAAGAATCCATCAAATCCAGTTTCTGGAGAGTTTGGAGGTTGTATAAATATCTCAGAATCTGTCCATCAAGCTAAAACTTGGGCAGTTTTTTTTCTGGGTATCCACAGCTCTCCTGCTGAGTAGGGGTTTCCACTGCTGTAGATTACTAAAACAATCAGGTGTGTGATTGGTCTGAGTAAATCTTTATGTGCTGTAGATAGTAAGTGTGTGCAGCAGAAGATCACATTGTCCAGTGATGAGCAGGATTGCTCCCTTTGCCTGCCAGTGGTCATAATCTTATGACAGAATGGTGTTTATTGTCATTCTGTCTTTCAAATAACAGCTACATGTTGTTGGGAAAAAAATATATTTCTCAGTTGAAATTGGCTAGGTTTTGCATGTTGTGTTATTTATTTTTAAATTTACTTTAAAAGCCCAACAGTTGAGACTTCAAACTGAATACCAGTCGCATACCATCAAGCTGGCCTGGCCTTAGAGCCAGCAGTTTATTTGACACTTCAGGGCTAATGCAGTAACATAGTGTTACAATATGGCAAAGGTTTGGATGCAAATTGCTTGTTGTAACGTAATTTGTTTTCACACATTTCACTGAAAACATGCTAATTAAAACTGTTGCTAACAGAACACACAAAAAATGATTCTCAGTGAAACGTAAGGCAGAAATGTAACTTTATATGGAATAGTAAGAGAAAAAAAATGAGAAAGACTAAAGTCATAACAAAAATTTCACTAAGCAGCACTATCACGTTAATTGCATCTGTCTCATTTTCATGTGTAATGAACCACAAAGCAACATTTTATTATTTTTTTTATTTTCCAGCTGAGCACACTGGCAGTAAGAATCAAATACAGAGATATTGTTGTGATTTAACTTCTCCCAAGCTTTGGGCAATGTTTTTGTGTTCATTTGATTTTAATCAGCCTGGGATTTTGCTCTGCTCGAGTGTTGGCAGAGAACACCAGAGTTAAATGCTTTGCTCCTTGCTGGATTTCACATATTTATTCAGAACAAAAGTAGACTATACCTGGAAGCATCAACTGATTAATATGTCATCAACTTATATCTTGTACACACATACATCTCTTGACAATTTCCATGCAGTAGGAGTAGCAAAGAGAACAACAAACATAAGATATGAGGCCTTCACTCTGGTGACTTTGGAATCTGAATAGTCATAAAGTTTCACTCAGTCTTTGACAGTTTTTGTTGTTTTAAAATGAGAAACAATGCATTTCCTCCATCCTCCAGGATGTAGAAAAAATATAGAACAATTAATTTTTAAACTAATGAAGAAAACTGAAATGAAAACACACTTTTTTTTTCTGAGAATCCTGTTCTGGCATTTGATGACAAACACCAGAGGAATCATGTCACAGCATGAAGAATTATAGAAGGAGAAATTATTGTTGTGCTTCAGAGAAATCGAAACATTTAATAGCTGATGTTCCCAACAAAGTTCCTTCCTGTAAAAATATAGCATATAGGTCAAAACAAGCAGCACACTGATACAGAAACCTATAAAACAGTTTTATGTTTACTTAATGACAATGCATTTTGAATATGTTCCTTGTTTGCAAGGCATTAGGACAAAGCAGTGTCACCTGGTGTCCTTTCATGCTTGTAACAAATGAAACAGTACAGAGCAAGTGATATCCTTACCCTTATTCTTAACTTCATTTCTGCCAAGCTGTTTTCTTATTATTATTTATTTATTTATTTATTTATTTATTTATTTATTTATTTATTTATTTATTTATTTATTTATTAATTATATGGCTTGGTCATTTTTTATGGATCAGTGTTATTTGGATGGACTTGCAACATGTGCACCCTGTCTCTCGCACAATAACTGCTGGAAATAGGCACCAACCACCCTGCGACCTGGGTTTGGACACTTAAGGAGCCAGGCATGGAATCATTACCAGCGGTAAAAATTACTTAAGGCTGGATTATACTTTATTTGGCACGTTTTGTCCCCCCTGCTGAGTGACAAAAAGTCGAACATCTATTTCCTCATTAAGTATAAATGGGCTGAAGACGCGGTCGGACATAAATCAACATAATTCCTCCCTCTGCCCTCTCAAACCTCACATAAGTAGGAAAACAACAATAATGATGGCAGCATTTTTTTGATCACTGAATGATCAGTGTTATGTTGGCTGAAGAGTCTGTTAGGGAAATACTTTTATTTTTTTAATAGTGGTGATTGGAAAAAAAAGAGTGAAAATCAGCTGTACGTACGTTCATGTTCAATATAACCAGTTCAGCTGCTCTCACAACAGGCTTCAGACAAAATATTATTTAAAACAAATCAACAAGGAAGTAAGATCTGCTCTGAGCCCAGCTCTGGAGTGGTCCAGCTCCTCAGCGCTGCGCTGGACCACTGCTTGCTCCTCATCAACAAACATTGCCACAAAGTTCTAACCAATCATACGCTCCAAGCAGCAATGCCCATGTCTCACAGTTCTGACTGGGGGCAATGTACAAGACTGCTGTCACCGGGGGATAGACATCAGACAGAAGTTGCACAGTTTTTTTGTCACTCGGCAGGGGGAACAAGACGTGCGACACGAAGTATAAACCAGCCTTTAGTGATGACCTTTTACTTTTTTCAAAATAGATATTTCACATCTCATTTATGAGTTACATTTACATTGACCAATCAAATACACAGACATATTCACCAATCTACATTGATTTTTACAGTGCATCTATAGTTCATGAAACCACAATGAATTAGTTGTTGTGTACATAAATGGTTAAAACACAGTGGAAATGCTATGGTTTCACTAAAAAACAGCAAACTTAACGCAAGTCTTAGAGATTGGTGTTTCAAGCCTAAAAAACAATGTGTTCAATTCTCCAATGCGTGTTTACAACCAGACATAAACACCAAATAGACTTTAATGTTATGTGTAACAAGAAATGTATACAACACCAGTTGGCTGGACCAAAAATACAGACTTTTATTCAATCATGCTTTCTGGCCACAATTCAGGAAATATGATCTTGTTTTAAACACTGTCTTCAGAATCGGGCCCTGCCCACTTCAAAACATTACACCAGTAGGGGAAGTCTCCCTAATCACATACTTGCACACACTTCCTGCCAACTGATGAGAAAAAAATACAGTATATACAGTATGTGGTCAGTGTAATTAGGGCTTGTGTTAACTAAATGTATCAAAGAGCACATTCTGTTTGAGTCAGCCGTGACATGTCACTCAAATCAGATTGTGCCTCAACTAAATCAAAGTTTACTCATAAAAATAGATGATTAGGCAAAAAGGTAGTAATCAAAATATTTTCTAGTAAACCTAGAGATAAAACAATATGTGTGATGCATTAAAATCAGTAGTAAACAATTTAAATTTCCTTCAAGCCAGTTCAAGATAAATTACCCTTTATTTTACTCGTGGTCTGTGTGAACACCTTTAACTCAAAGGAAAAGAGGGGAAAAAAATTGTTGATTTTATTTGAGGTACATAATTTTCTTACATTTATACCCTTAACTATGAAGCCAGATGAAGTAGTTAATTTTCAAACTGACACTTTATTTGTTCAGTGGCTTATTTTATCCCATACAAAACAAGAAAATGCTATTATAAATGTTTTAAAGGTAGGTATTATGCAAAATTGACTTTACAGAGGACCATCTATTTACAGAGAACTCCCCAAACAAACACCAGAGGAACCATCTCACAGTATGAAGCACCTGGGGACTGAGCTCCATGGAGCTCCCTTTCCACAGAGCACCTGTCCCCCGAGGCTTTGTGAAGACATGCTGAAGTGGGAGTGTCGGAAACAGTAGGAGGTTCTTAAAGAGATAGAGGCCAAATTCAAGGTGTTTAGATGTCTATGATGCAATGTCAAATTTGTTTTCGATACACACTAAAAACAGTTGGGCTAAAAATAACCCAATATGGGTTATTTTTGGCCCAACTGCTGGGTCAGTATAGCACCAGCCCAGCAGTAGTTAATTTGACCCAGCAAGTTGGGTTGACCTGTTATAACCCAACGGTTGAGTTAAAATATTCTACCCAAATACTGGATCAAATTAATTAAAATTCTGGGTTGTTTCAACTACATTATGTGTTATTTAATCTACCCAAATATTGTGTCAAATTAATTAAAATTCTGGGTTGTTTCAACTACATTATGTGTTATTTAATCTACCCAAATATTGTGTCAAATTAATTAAAATTCTGGGTTGTTTCAACTACATTATGTGTTATTTAATCTACCCAAATATTGTGTCAAATTAATT